TCTAGCTAGATATACTGGAGAAGGAGAAACAACCCAATAATAATTCATATAATTAAATAAAATAAAACAGTTTATTCTAAACCATCTTTTTATTACACTATGCATTTTGCACATTCAATGTTTATCTCATTTCTCGTCCACTGGAACACTTAATTAAAATAAAGATGTAGGTATGAATAACGGACAAGTATAAAATTCTCTAATTTAGTCTTCTTAGCCTAAATCTATACACAAACTCGTAATCGTCATATCTGTACATGTAATTAACACGCTCTTGATATGGTCGTGTTGTGGTAACCACATTATTTGTTTCAAAATATCAATAGCACTTGAACTACTACTTGAACTGGAGTCCGACATGATTTTTTGTTTAAATCTGATGTATTTTTAAGAAATAGAAAAGATATATATAGTTACTGATCTTCACTGATAACTATACTCCTATCCCTCAAAATTCTGCGATAGAGCTAAAGCCTACTAGGGATAACCAAAGTCACTGACAGTTAGCACCTTTGTTATTATTGGGACGCGTGAACTGTCAATTTCATAGTAAAAGCAATCTGTAGATAACCTATCCGTCCTCCCACAGGTAATGACAACCATAGATTAGTTTGCCTATCGCCAGTAAGTTTATTGAGACGGCAAATTTAAAGATAGATAGATTTTTCTATCTCCAGTAGGGCAAAACAAGGGATAGATAGAATATTGGGAAAGTCCGCATAGTTCATCTGACTATCTTCATAGGACTTCGTTTCTCTACATAAAAGGAGTTTGCAATGATCAATCAACCTTTTTAGAAGTTCGAAATTGGATGAGAACAAATATTGAAGGGCGGTTCTTATTTAAAAGCTTCGTTCGCTGTTTAACTTGTTTATGATGAATTGATGAATATGTCCAGATCTCTTATGATGTACGGCGTCCGGTCGGAGCGTTCTGGCCAGGACTCCTCGGAGTCAGCATCGGATGGAGAGGTCGAGCCAGTCCCAGTTACTGAGGCGGCAGTGAGGGAGGACCCTGACCTCATGCTCGTACCCACCATCATCAGCAGGGTTGTGCTGCCCAAACTCACTGGTAAATACCTATCAAGTATTATTAAAGTTGCATGAACTCATTGAACTCATGTTGATGAGTATTTAGAGCAGGAGTTAGAACGGTATAAGTGTGGGAGAGCCATGCTTCGGCACGAATGGGCCGTCTCGACCGGAGTAATACCACGGCCGAGCAGAAAACCGACGTAAAGCAACGTTTGCGTTGTGTTTCGTCGTGTGAGTGATGTTACCGGAGGCCCAATTACCCTCCCCTTCCCCAATCTCCCCAATTCCTGAATCCCCAACGATCCTCAAACTCCTAATCACCAAAAGGCCGGTAACGCACTTGTAACGCCTCTGGTGTTCCAGGTGTTCACGGGTGACGCCGATAGCTTAACATCAGGTGATGCGTCAGGTAGTTTACCGGCTTATGCCATAAAAAAAAAATGGGTTTTTAGTCAGTAAGAGTCCGACATTCCCTTTGATTGACGATTTTCATCCCTCTAAAAAGACTGTATTAATGGTTTTTCGTGTTAAATGGTACTTAACAACTAGTGAAATTGAATATTTATTTTTCTTCCAGAGTTGGTGTCGAGTGCGTGGGACCCGATGTGCGTGCGCGCGTGCGTGCGTCTTCGCGCGCTAGTGCTGCGCGGCGCGCGCGTGCCGGGCGCGGGGCCGGCGCTGCGTCGTCTGGCCGCCGCCATACGCGCGCGACTCTCACAAGCACTCGCCGCAGACGTCTTTCTACCAACCTTACCGCCCGCGTAATACATACTTTGCTTTTATTTTATTTATATATTTAACCTTCATATTATACAAAGTGTACATATGGTGGACTTAATGCCGCAGGCATTTTTCTCCCAGTCTAACCTTTGGGTGATGCAGAGAAGAGTTAAGTTGGTGTGAGCAAGAAACAAGCAACACTTACATATTTTAGAGATAAACATAATTATAATGTATAATTATCTTACACACGAGTACAATACAATATACATACAATATAAATGTATGAATATATATACATGCATTCATACATTTTTATTTTCGACATTTCTTTCAAATTGCGTTCGATCTTGTAAAAATAGTTTGATAAAAATTATGTATATGTCACTTCAATGACGATTTAGTATAAAAATAGCTACTGTGTTTATACTTTCCTATAGGTAAGTAAAAAACTATATTTGATGTAGAATACTGGAGGGATCTGGCGCGGTGTTCTGGCGGCGCTGCCTGGGCGCGGGCGTGCGCTTGTTGCGCGCCGCGCTGTGTCTGGCCGCGCCGCCCGCGCTACTACGCGCCGACCCGCTCGTACTCGCGCTCATTGGTAACGTACATTGTGTTTATTTATTCCAACTGTAATGATTGTTTTCGTTATTTTGAAAACATAAAAAATATGAAAAAGATAAACATTATAATATTTTTGCGTAAAATAACGATGCAAGTCAATCGTGGAGAGCCGTTTAAATGGAAGAATGCAGTTTCTTGCTTGTTTCTCTGTATATGAATCAATTCAATTCAATTTTGACATTTTAAAAATGAATGAACGTTTTCAGGCCAACGTTTTATATGCGCGTATTTTTTTTTTTTGAGGGGGAAAGTTATCGAACTGTTTCTCCCGCCTGGGAGAGGGGAGGGAATGTCAGACTCTTACTGACTAAAACCACCTCGCCGAAGTGGAAGAAGTGGCCGAAGATCGTCCCGCGATCCCCTGTCCTTCGCTACGGGTGGGTGTTGTGAGGAGGCAACGCTTCGCTGGCTTACGCGTCCCGCCTCCTCCTTAGCTAGCATGACTGCTTCGCAAAAGGAAGAGATGGAATTCCAGTCCCACTCGCTCCGCTCGCTCCGACTAGGACCGGACGCGAGAGGTCACCGTCGCCGATCACGTCCCTGAGGGCACGGCGGTGCTCAGTCCTCAGCGCGGTTTCGCAGTGATAATACCCGGGCGTTTCCTCCCGCCCTATCAGACACATGTACCTCCCGAAGCTCCCATGTCCGGTGAGGACCTGCGTCAGGTAGGTGAGGACGCCGTGGTGTCTCAAGCCACTCTTCCTTACCTACCTACCACTGCAATGGCAGCAAGCCCGAGTCGAGTCGTTGCTGCCATTCCGCCATGAGATCGCCACCCAATCTTTTCCCGCCACGCATTCATTATTTGTGTTCTCCATAAAGATCTCACGAGTATGGGGGAAATATTCGGTCTATCCAGGTAGTGCCCCCTGTACCTGAGTAAGTGTGAATTTGTATCCCAATTAGAGGGTCCACAGGTCCCTTAGCTGGGGGTGCGCTCACGACTGACTCTACTCCTCTGCCGTGCATACCCTCGCCGCGCACCAGAACTTGGTATTGGAGGATTTTTTATATAGAGCTTATCTTCCTCGCGGCCCGCGCGACCAATCCAAGGCCCTTGTCCTGTTCGTAGTCATAAAACATGACCATGATCTCTTCACGGATTAAGATTTCGACGGTTGCAATCGAGGACAGCTTGTGTCCCGATGCTGCTCGTAGGCAGGGTGAGTGCTTAACGAGCTCCGCCATTGCCTCTCCGCCACGTTTTCTGCTAAACTCAGAGAGACGGGTGGAGGAACGACCCCTCGGAATCTCGGGCTAAGAGCATACGCACAGAGCCCGTCGCCTCCAGAACCAATCTCGCCCCGTCCAGAAGTTTGCTGCGGGCAATAGTCACTCCAACCCTATCGCCCCTGTTAGGGAGCCTATCATCGTCACCCAGGGTACACCACGGGAAGGTCTTCTGGTACAGTACTCCTTATATGTGCGTATAGGTGTACCTTTTGGCAGTCGCGTAACAACCTAAACCTCTTCTCTGCGGCATATGAGACACTAGAGAATATATTGTGTCACGTAGATCTGCGTTCGTTGCACGGACGAGTGGATTAATAGAGTGCTGGGTGTGCGACAGAGACGCTGTGCACGGGCGCGGGCGCGGCGGGCGGGGCGCAGCAGGCGCGCGCGGCCGCCGCGCCACGTTGCCGCGCGCGCCGCCCGCGCTGGCCGCCACGCTGCCGCGCGCGCCGCACCATCTGCGCACGCTCGCGCTGCGCCGCCTCGCGCGCCTCGCCGCGCTCGCCCTGCAGCGGCTCGACGCCGACAACCCCTTGCATCTGTAAGTCTTCTTTCTCACTCTAATACCGAAAGGCTATTCAATTTTAAGTTGTTCTTAAATATCGTGCCATCTCTGTCATTTTACAAACAATTTGCAGTGACACAACTACATATACTTACGTGCGACTTCTATTTCATACTTGCCAACTAGTCAAATTCAATACTTTTTAAGAACTGTCAAAAACGAAAGTTAACTATGGATTTTGTACGAGATTGTGTATTGTGACGTCAAATTTTTTTAGCGTCAAACAGCATACTTATTTCTTAATTTGCTGATAAAATACTTAAAATAAGTTGGTCATAAAATCAATGAATGAAAGTGTGATTATTTTTTTATATTTTATTGTATTGAATAGTCGAAATAATTTATGTTTGATTAAGAAAAGTACCCAATTATGTAGCGTTTCAGTATTTCACCGTTAGTCATTCACTACCCTACTAATAAACCAATGTCAGATTTCACGACCGATTTCATGTCTGACGATAATTGAGTAATTTCCTCAGTGAAAAATAAATTATTTATTGTACTTTTCAATACAACAAAATATTCAAAAATAATCCTGCTTTCATTAATTTTGATGAACTTCTGAATTTTCGAAATTTTCTTTGGCAATTAACTAGAAATAAGACTGCATGGCATGGCACAAACCATGACCAGATTTTTTTGCGTATTTTTATCTCACTCGTAACTTTTGTTGTTTTTACATTAACTTACTTACTAATAGTCATAATCGCCTTTTATCCCCGAAGGGGTAGGCAGAGGTGCACATTACGGCACTTAATGCCACTGTGCAATGTAACACTCACTTTCCATGTTATGATTATATTTTATGTTATGAGTCCCATGTAATAGACACCAGGCACAGTTCCTGACTCCGTGCTACTACTGAGATTTATTGAAAAAACCCAGTAATACTTTACCAGTAAAAAAAGGCGACCCGAGACGCTTTGCCCGGCAGTCACACCCCTCGGCCAACGAGGCAGTCATTCTTATTCTATATTTTCTTACGATATTTATTTATTTATTTTAATTCGGGTAACCAACAGCTATAAAACAAATAATAAAATTTCAGAATATGCTAATACAAAGCCAATTATAGGTTTCCACGCCTAGCTATAGTATATCTTTACAGAGGTTTTGCGAATGCAATGCACACAAAAGTATAAAACATGGATAGTCATTCAAAAAATTTTAGGTTTAGTCGCCTACGCACCCTGGAACTGCTTGTGGTAAATGAAATATGAAACCTTTTTTACAGGAAAGCGATAGAACAAGCGAGGGCAGTAATCGCAGAAGCACGCGCAGTTGAATGACACGAAGACAGTTCCACTACAACCCACACTAGGTGGCAGGCAACTTGACGTCACGAGGCTTCGTGGTCATAATATAATACTCTACAATCCATTTAATTGAAAGTAACTGGCTAATTGTGTACACTGGCTTTGCTGGCCAGTAAAAAACCGATCTTTATGTGGATAAAGTCAAAAATGTAACCTGAGTAAGTGTGAATTTGTATCCCAATTAGAGGTCCACAGGTCCCTTAGCTGGGGGTGCGCTCACGACTGACTCTACTCCTCTGCCGTGCATACCCTCGCCGCGCACCAGAACTTGGTATTGGAGGATTTTTTATATAGAGCTTATCTTCCTCGCGGCCCGCGCGACCAATCCAAGGCCCTTGTCCTGTTCGTAGTCATAAAACATGACCATGATCTCTTCACGGATTATGATTTCGACGGTTGTAATCGAGGACATTTAAATTTTTGACTCTTCTTCAAATAAACATGAATACTTATATCAAAGGCAAATGAGGTAATATTTTATTGTTAGTGTGTATTAAATAGTCTTTAAAACGACTAATATGATATGAAAAATATTTCACAATTAGAAAGCTTACTTTTTAGAAATTTACATAGATATTAATCAACCTGATATCCCAACATAATCGACACTTAATCGGGAGAATTTTAATATCCACGCGGGCGAAATTGCAGTTGGATATAATAATATGTACATTTAAATTTTTGACTTTGTCCATATAAAGATCGGTTATTCTCCATAAGGTTCCCACGAGTATGTGGAAAATATTCGGTGCACCCAGGCAGTACCACTGTACTGGGTAAGTGAATTTGTATTCCAACAAGAGGGTCTACCGGTCCCTGGCTCGTGACTGTCACTACGAGATATACATCATAATTTTTAAATAAAATAAAATCGGTTTAATTTCAGCTGTAATAAATACCAAAAAGTTGTCAGATAGCCAGTGACAAGACAAAAATAATTTCAGAAATAAAATGTACATGGTGCTAACCAATAATGGAAAGTGTTGGTAATAAATAAGTAAAGATTTTAAACATTTCAAGTATTACATATATTTAAAAGACCTCTCTAGGTCCCTTATCGAATGAAATCTGTGAGTCAGAAATGTCAATTTATTACAATAAAATAAGTCTCAATGGCATTTTGTTTCGCATGTAGTTAATTAATTATTTACGGTCTACTGTTAAGGTATGATTAGACTAAAACACTATACACTCGGTGGATATATCGAATGTCTCTAGATGAACACGGGTGTCTATAATTCAAAAGTGTATTCTGACACGATATTTTTGATACCTGATGGTAAGCAATCGGTGCCGCCCATGGACACCTGAAACACTATGGACTTATTAGTGCGTTACCGGCTTTTTGGGAATTGGGAATTTGAGAATTGTGGGGGATTCGGGGATTGGGGAGACTGGGGACGGGGGTAATTGGGCCTCCGGTAACCTCACTCAACAACGAATCACAACGCAAGCTTTGTTTCACGTCGGTTTTCTGCTCGGCCGTGGTATTCCTCCCGTCGAGCCGGCCCATTCGTGCCGAAGCATGGCTCTCCCACACTTAAATTACAAAAAAAAAAAATTATAATATAATCCTATTCTTTGACTTGTGTTATTTTGGCCATTGGGCATATCTTTTCCATCCTGCATATTATCCCACCATGCATAAAAAAATGCTAAATTGGTTTTTAATTTTCTTTCCTGTGTGTGATGTGATGAGTGGAATACCTATGTATATTATGATTTACTTTCGATGAGTAAATGAGTTTAGTCCAAGGACTTGTTAAAATTACTTACTATTTACGTCTAACAAACAACATTATGTCAATAAAAATACAAACTATTTTGATTTATACGTAAATAGGTCATTAAAGTCAAAGTCAAAATCATTTATTTCAATTAGGATGGCACTTTTGAACGTCAAACAACAAAAATTTATAAGTGAAGCTAGTTGCTCATTCCAAGGCGTAGATTCCTATGGAGAAGAACAAGCAAGAAACTCCATAGGTTACTCTTTTTCAATCAGGTTTACAATACAATTCAATAATACAATACAATTAAGAATGTAACATTATGAATATTATAGTTTTTGTGTTACACGAAGTGTCTCAACAGTCTCAACGCCTTCAGGTTTCTTACAATGACAAAAATATATACCTAATTGTAATATATGATAATTGATGAGAAAAGTTGTCACGGCATAGTCATTGTGAATGATCTAAATTCTAATGTACTTATTTATGTATACTTTGTATATAAGTAACTTAATTCATTTGTATGAGATTCTCAACAAGTATGAAAATAAATGATATGGGTACGTATGCGGCTTTTATTATAATATAATTATGTATTTTTATTACTTAACATATCTGCATACCCTAAAAGGACTTCAAAGCGCGAGTTCATATTACTAAAAATCATTTCTACATACTAACTAAGACTTTGAGACCTCTTTCTAAAGCGAGAACTCAAAGCGCTCTATTACATAATGCATTAAATTATGATGGTAATTTACAATAGTAATTAGTAACTATAATACAAAATAACAATCTGCTGTGGTTTTTATAGTTATAGAAATCTTGTCGTAGATCTATACTTATTACTACTCTGCCTATATAATATATATATATCATAGATATCATATATATATCTATATATTATAGATCTCAGAGGCCTTAGTACGAGTTTTAAAGTAATCGAAACGAGTATGCGTTCGGCGCTCTGATTGGCCGGCGCCAATGAAGCAATCAATCACAGCGCCGAACGCGTACTTGTTACGATTACTTTAAAACAAACCGGTACTAAGGCCTCAGTGTATATCATTGATACGTGGTACCTACAAAGCTTTCGCTATTCGCTATCGTGCCTGTCAGTCGCGGAGAACCTAACGGGTAACCGGGGCTCCGGCTCGACGTGCAGGAGAAGGAACGGGGTGGTTTTTATCAGGGTCTGTCGACTTACTTCTGCGAACGTAATGTAGGGGGGTATAGACGCGTGAGGCAGCGAAGCGCTGCCTCCTCGCAACCCAGCCATCGCGAAGGACACACCGGGCGTCGGGGATCGCGGGACGATCTCCGGCCACCGTAAGCGCGGGCCTGCGGACGGCGAGCATGGGTGGCTCCCCGTCCGACCAGAAACAGACCCGAGCGTACGGCGCGTCGCGTTCCGCGCGCGCCTCAAAGAGCCATCAGACCACCACAGATGGGGCCCAATAGGGCCGATGCCGATTCGGAGTCGCGGAGAACCTAACGGGTAACCGGGGCTCCGGCTCGACGTGCAGGAGAAGGAACGGGGTGGTTTTTAGTCAGTAAGAGTCTGACACTCCCTCCCGCCTCACCCAGGCGGGAGCAGTCATTCGATGATTTTCCCCCCTTAAAAAAAAAAAA